TGAGCTCTGCCATTGGCTATGCTGGCTTGGCCTGATTAGAGCTCTGGTGCAATAATATCTGGAGGGCCATGCATTCCTCAGCTCTGTTTTAAGTCTATAAGCGCAAAGGAATTGCTGTCCAGTAGATAAACACCATCCATCAGCAAGGCCCAGAAAGACAGCTAGGATATTCTGCAGTGCTCGAAGCAGAGGAGCCACCGTATATGACTTACTCCTGTGCCCACGCCACGGGACACCACAACAGACTGAAGACCAATGCCCAATATATGGTGTGGGGTGATTTGGGGCATAGTATCTTCTTTGTGAAACCAAACCAAAGTTGGACAGAAAGAGATTCTGCTGTGTTGCTCACTAGACAAAGGGTAACAACACAGCCAAGGAGGAGGATCGCAACAGTAACTGGAAGCCAGCAAAAGCCACATTGCTTCTTACCATGAGACACCACGATGAATATCTAGAATTGTGAGCTGTGGAGATTCGTGACAGAGTGAAACCAATGGCTTAACCCCAAACAGAACAGTTCGATTGCATCAACTGCTAGACACTGAGTCAATAGCTATGTAAGTCCCACAACTGAGTGGGTTTACTCTAGTTAGTACTTCTCAATAATTCAGCCTGGTGATTTGTACTGTGCAGTATCTCTCAGCTTGTTTTGCATCAAATTACGCAGGATGCCTATTTCTCATCCATGAAGCTCAAGGCAGCTTCTCAATAGGTTGGAACTATTCCTCTCACCACAGGGAAAAGAAAGAGCGCAGAACCCCAGCTACTGCACACACAGAGAGATCTGAGTTACCTCAAGTGAATTAGAATAGATAGCAAAAGGACCAAGGGTTCATCAGGCCCCACTCTAGATAAGGTGTACTGGATCAATCACTTCTTTCACAAAATCAGTCATCTACAACAGTGGTCCCCAACCTTGGGCCACCAGATGTTCTTGGACTTCAACTCCCAGAAATCCTGGCCAGCAGAGGTGGTGGTGAAGGCTTCTGGGGACTGTAGTCCAAGAACATCTGGAAGCCGAAGGTTGGGGACCACTGATCTACAACATTACAGCCAAGTTTCCACTTTCTCTATAACCATTTCCTGCCTGGAATCATGACAGGGCCTGAATTCAAGCCAACAGATGGATCTTTAGCCTTCAGTAGAGCAACTTATACCTAAAGACAGGAGGCAGCTCCTTGCAGCTATGGAATCAGATGTAATTAAGGACCACCACCACCACCACCCCAACCACAGTTAAGTTACTGGACAGTTTCCACCCAAGGGTGGGGAATTATCTAAGCAGCTTTGCTTTGTTTAGAATCTGCTCAGAGAAAATGAAGAGGCCTATCTCCCAACAGAAGTTTCTCTTTTCCACCATGTGCTAAAACAGCAGCTCATCTCCTCTTAAATAGCTTTTGTTTTGTAGCCTGATAGTGGATTTCGTTTTGCTTTAAGCTCATAAGCTTCTTTATAACATTTATCTGAATAGGAAGAAAGAAATGGTTACTGAGGTTTTACCACTGATGGCTGATCTCCAAGAGGAGGGTGAGGCTTCTAAACATCCCAAACCCCTAAATATCTTCTATTGAAGAGGCCAGCAAATACAGGTTATATTTAAAGAGGCAAAGAAAAAAAAAAGGATTGCCTCGGAATGTATTCACAAAAGAAAGAATTTCTGTAACAGGACAGAAGTCAAAAGCTTAGAAAGGGCAGGACTTCAGTTACGTACAAAGTCACAAGTTCTAATACCAAGTTTGGATTTAGGAGTACAGAAAAGGGTTAGAATAGTTATGTGTATGGAAATGTGTTTTTCAGTCATCCCACCTTTTAACTTTGAGGTCCAAAATTTCTAGTCCTCACAGCAATAAAAAATTGCTGAAAAGTGTGCACGAGATGCCTGCTGAAATCTCAGAAGCAGGAAATGAGGTTGTAAGTGACATTTCAATGCTTTTTCCCCTCCCCATTATAAAAAAAGCCAGATGTATACAAAACAGCACAAAGTACAGACTTCTTCAAGGAAGGAAATGTTTGCCCAATTTATTCCAGTTACAGGATTCATCTTTCCTTGTTGCAGAATCTGCTTGGGTGCATAATTGTCATCGACATAGCTTGGGATACACAGAAACCTGGCCAGGGTTTGCAAAGCTTTAGAAAGCAAATCAGAGTTGTCTGTTTTTCCTATAGTGCTTTGCTGACAGGAAACTGTACAGAATACAAAGACACTCAAGCGGACTGCTGCACTTGGTAATTTTTACTACATGCCAATTTTCTTTAATTTAAATTCACTCAGTTTTCTGTGTTCCCCAACATCAAGACCATAATCGACCAGGAGACAGAGAAGCAGCAAAAAAGGGTGGGCTTATGGAAGAATTCCCAGCAAAGCAAAACAGGCCCACCTAGTGGGCAAGACTTGTTCAGCATAGGGCATTTTCATAAGGGCCCAGGAAGGCTTTTCTTCCCAGCTTTAGAAGGCATACCTCAAGTTACCTCTAATAGGAACAACTGGGGAGGGGTAAAATGCAACCTAGCAACATCATTCAAGTCTATGCCCCAACTAGGAATGCTGAAGAAGATAAAATAGAAACCTGTTATGCAAGTGTCCAAGAGGAAATGAATCACACACCAAAAAAGGACATGCTGATAATCATAGGGGACTGGAACAAAAGTAGGGAACAGAGCAGAACCTAATATTGTTGGAAAATTTGGCCCTAGGGGACAAAAATGAAGCAGGGGAATGACTCACGAGTTCTGTGAAATCAACCGTCTGTTTCTTGCAAATATATGTTTCAAGCAGCCAAACAGAGAGCTGTACATCACCAGATGGTCAATACAGAAATCTAATGGACTACATTGTTAGAAGCAGGACATGGAGAAACTGTATTCTCTCTGCCTAAACATGACCAGGAGCAAATTGCAATACTGATAATGAATAGTTAAAATCCAACATTAAAGATGGAAAAGAACCCTAAAATAATCATAGTGCCAAATAGAATTTAAACAACATTCCTGATGAATTTAAAAACCACATAGGGAACAGATTTGCATTACTAAACTCAACTGACGATGAACCAGAAGAACTGTGGATTGAAACCACAGATATTATTAGAGAAGAATGCAGAACCACAATTCTTGTAGTAAAAAAAGAAAAGAAAAGCCTGGATGGATGATGGAAGAAACACTTCAAACTGCAAAGGACAGGTGAAAAGCAAAAGTAAAATATGATATAAATAGGGTGAGAATCGTGAATGCAGGTTTTCAGCTTTTGTCACAGAGACAAAGAGAGCAAAGGACAGGTGAGAAGCAAAAGTAAAATATGATATAAATAAGTTGAGAATCGTGAATGCAGTTTTTCAGCTTTTGTCACAAAGAGAACTATTACAATAATCAGTGCAAAGAAATAGAGAACAAAAGAGGAAAAACAGGAGATCTCAATCAGAAGATCCAAGAAATCAAAGGAAAATTTAAACCTACGTTAGGAATGCTGAGTGATCAACAGGAAATCACACTACCCGTCTAGGAGAAAATAAAGAGAAGGTGGAAAAGAATACTGAAGACCTATACAGAAAATACAAAAGGATGACAAACTCTTTTGAAGAAGACTCTTAAGATGAAGAAACTGCAGTTCTAGAAAGTGAAGTGAAATCTGCTCTAAATGCAGTGGGGAAAAATAAATTCAATGGGGTAGATGCAATATCAATAGAACTACTTCAAGCCACAGAGACGGAAACTGTTAAAATTCAAACAAGAATATGCCAACAAATACAGAAAACAAAACCATGGCCTAAAGACTGGCAATGTTTAATATACATTACAGTTCCCATCAATGTAACATCAATAATTTAAGATATGCAGATACTATCTTACTGGCATAAAGCAGCAATGATTTGAAATCATTTTAGTGGAAGTGAACGAAAGTGCCAAAGAACTGCAGTTGAACATTAAGATGACAAAAACCTAGACTACAGAATACACAACTTTAATGTTGATAATGAAGAAACTGAAATAGTGAATGATTTTGTATACCTTGATTCAATCATGAATCCATATGGAGACTGCAGTCAAGAAATCAGAAAACTGAAATTCCAAGGACAGCAATGAAGGAATTAGGAAAGATCATCATGTTTAAAGATGTGTCACTGACCAAGACCAAGATTATACACATTCTTGTATTTCTGATCACCATGTATGGGTGTGAAAGCTGGACAAGAAAAAAAACAGATTTGTTTGGAAAGTAGTGCTAGAGAGGGCTTTGCAGATACCTTGGAGTGTCAGAAAGATGAACAAGTCTTTCAGCAAATCAAGCCCAAACTATCTCTAGAGGCAAACATGTTGAAACTAGGGCTGTCCTAATTGGGGCACATCATGAGAAGGCAAGCTTATCTGGAAAAGACAATAATGCTGGAAAAGTTTGAAGGCAGCAGGAAAAGAGGAAGATGAGACAGACTAACTCCCTAAACTTCTAAACTATTTTGTTATTTTGTTGTTTACCTGTTGTAAACCGCCCAGAGTGGCCCTGGCTGCCAGATGGGCGGTATATAAATCAAATAAGTAATAATAACATAATAATATTTTGGAGATCACTTATTCATAGGGTTGACATAAGACAGAGGTGACTTGACAGCACATAAAAACAACGTAACTCTTCACAGTTCATTTTACAGTACATGCAGCTTTTTGAACAAGTTCCTGATATCATGTGGATTTATTCATTTGAAGGGAGGTTCTAAGGCAGAAAATCAGAGAAGTCCTAAGCTATAAAAATATTCAATATACATAAAAAAATTGCCCATCTTATTTACAAGTTTTATAACAGGCCTGCAGGGAGAAAAATGATTCTCATGTTGTGGAAAGGAGAGCAAGTTGAGCCCTTATGACCAGCTATAGATATAGAATATTTCTACTGCTTTTTCTGGTGAAGTGAAAGGACTGTTTTTCTATGTAGCAAGTCTGGGTTAACCAAACACAATCACAGGATTCATTTCTACTGAAAAGAGTGTGTTGAAAATAATGCTTACCATCAATTAGAGCTTGGGTGGCTTCATCATAAGGGGGCATCTTCTCTAATTCTTCCTCTACTGCCTTGACATCAGAAGATGGCTTGGGTGGAGGGACCTGTAGGGACATCAAGGAAGTCACCTGCATCTCAGATTTTAAGCTATGCACACTCATGGCAGGGGCAGAGGGGGAAAAACAACAGCAAGACAGATGCTGAGAGGCAAAGGAGGCTGCCACAGATACACTGAATGACCAGGAGCCTTCCAAGGAAGGAGACTGGAAAGCAGATAAGAGTAGAGAAAAATACATGCTAGAATTTTCAACAAGGTTAGCATGTGCTAGTCTCTATTGTGGTATTTCATACCTTGTAATGACTTCCGTTTGATATTCAGATCTCTTCTACTGAAGCTTTGCACTGTAAACAGGGTGTGAAATACCAGATTGCCTCATGCAATTTGTAATTCATGTCTACTAACCAACCACTGGTTCTTTATTTTGAGGCCATATATATATGTATAAAAATCTGCCATGTTATCTCAGCTCTTATGTCTCAGGAAGTTGACTTGATCCACAATAATTCACATTAAAATCTAGCAGTCAGTTTTTAAGATGCCACAATGTTTTCTTTTTTTAAAATTTTCCTTTTATTTTTGCCCAATATACACGCTAGAGTTAGTGCACAATTCGCAAGAAAGCCAGTGGAAACACTGCAGGTTCTGTGGTAGCAAACCTGTTTTGACATCCATGTCACAAGCAGCTTTTATATACTGCTGTTCTCACATGAACAGTATCAACAGGAAAAGGTTTTGAGGGATATAAATATGTGTATTTAATGCACTCCATAATAATTGTAAACAATGAATTGCCCTTTCCTTGTGCTGTCCCTAAAGGACCTCTTGCTCCAAATATTTTGAAAGAGAGCAAAAACAGAGAATTACATTAGTCAAGTGAAAGAAAGGAAAGCATCCTTTCCCTCTGTGCATGGATACGAGAAAGGAGACAAGTGCGAATGATGAGCATCCAGGTATATTTCCTTCAGCTTTCTTATTAAAGAGACTGTAGCACTGAGACTTACAAAACATCCGTGCAAAAGAGGTCTGCTAGGAGGAGAAAATGTGACCAAGCCAAAGGCTTTGAACTTCATCCAGTTCCAAACATCAAGTGGGAACCCAGCTTCTCAATTTTTAATAACTCTGGTTCCTGTTTAACATTTGGAACTAGGTGAAAACTTGGAGACTCTGGCAAAATGGGAAGAGTAGTAGACTCAATTTTTTATGCATCAGATACCTAGAACTTTCTTTGTTAGGATTTAAGACTCTATTGTGTCCTAAGATTGAGGCAGGAAACAAGTACAGTATCTGGCTGAATATACTAGTGCATGTTCTCTGGAAGAGTTCATTAAAAAAAAATCAGCAAGCCCAGAAGGACTGAAGAGAAAAAAAATTACAGAATTTTAAAGAGAAATTTATTTCCCACTCCACCCAAAGCACAACGGGTCCAACAGGGGAACATATGTTTCATTTGTCCCTTTCCTATGAAACAGTACATCCAGACCCAGCGTGACTTTCATTTGAATGGCTACAGAGCAGGGTACTTTTAGGAATTCTATTCCACACAAGCAGAATTCTGAATAGAATCTCAGACCATGAATTTTCAGTCTTACAGGGAAAGAAGGGGGAAATTAGCCTTCATAACTCACAAAACAGGGTCTGAATGTGTACTCTATCACAGACTCTAGAGGGAGAACTTTCAGTAAGCAACACTTTCCTGCCGTGCATGGTTTTGCATACAGAACTTACAGTAAGTGCAGAATGAAGCTCAATTTAGCACAACTCAATTTAGTACCTTCATCTCATCAATGCTATCTTCATCAGCTTCTTCCTCTTCATCATCTTCTTCACCATAGTCGTCCTCTGAAGGCAACTGATCCATAGGGAGATCTTGCGGGTTATCGGACTCCTCCTCTACTGGGGCCTTTGATGGAGGCTGTTCCTCAGTCAAGCTCTGGAGAAGGAAGACCAAGCTTAGCTCAACCAGTACTTAATCACGTTCCCTGCAAACCGATATTAAGAGGCATACTGCTGCTGTTACCAGACATTAGTACAACCTTCATGACTGAGAGAGCAAACTTTTAATAATTAAGCATATTTGACTGGCAGCATTTGTTTGGCCTTGGTGTGTGACAAGATCGGTATTTACAGGTGCTTCTAGAAGCAAACGTCCCAGTCAAGTTTCAGAATCTCTCCCAAAGAGAAGTTCAGAAATAGTGAACCATTGCATATCCTTCTTTTCCTTCCTTTTATCCTGAGTCTTATATAGGCCATTTCAGAGGCAAGCCATAAGACAAGACAAGGTACTTTCCTCCCGTTCCCTTGCTGGCTTCTAACTTGAATGAACATTCACAAAGACATGCAAGCGACAACACAGATGTGATACGGAAATAATTATGTTTCCTCCGAAAAATTGAATGAACATTCACAAAGACATGCAAGCAACAACACAGATGTGATATGGAAATATGTTTCCTCTGAAAATGGGAAAACTAAGAGCAGTGCTATAAATCTGGTTTTCAAACATTACTGAATTAACATATATGACCTATTCCTGTAAGGTATCTGCAGAAAGGACACTATTATATCACAACTTCATTAAGTCAGTACCATCAATGAAGGACACAACTGTACAAACAAGAAGCTAATTCTTATCATCAATACTTGTGTCACAAGAAAACAAACAAGCTTGAACTAGGACAGAAGAAAAATCAGCAAGACTATGGCATTCTGCTCCTGCTACTTTGCCTGCCTGGTAATGACTCCACTTTCAAGAGTAGTAGAGTGGATATTCGTACTCTAGCGACTCTTGTACTGAAGAAAGTAAGAACAGCAAAGGAATTACTAAAATAGATGCATCAGAATTAAGAAAATTATATAAAATTTTCTCCACCAGTATTCATGAAGACAACATTTGCCATTATCTGTTGCTCCCACTCCTTTTCTAAAGTGGCCCTTCCTCCAGCCCTTTTAAACAACAATGAATCTTGTGGCATCCTGAAATCTAGCAAGTTTTACTTGGAATAAACTTTCATAGACTGCAGCCTGAATCTTACATGCTTGTGAAGAAGTGGGCTACAGCCCACAGAAGCTTGTGTATAATGAAATAAGTCAGTTTTTAAGGTGCCACAAGATTCCAATACAGCAGCAAACTAACCAAGCTACAGCACTGCCCCACAGACCACAGATCTTAGTGAGCTGACCTACACCTTCTACCTCTATTGTCAAGAGAAACTCCACACTCAAACAATGTCAGAGCAGAGCAGCAGAAAAGCAAGCAGACTGATAGTTGTAATACTGACTAGGAAAAATCATTTAAAGGCCAGTGACAAAGTCCTGTAGTCCATCTGTAATTCAGCTGTGCCCCTTACAGAGTTGGTATGTTTCGCACTTAGCAAGACAAACAGAGAAATACATCTTCTCTTTTGTTCTCTAGCACTTATTTGACCAAACTCTGGGAGACAGTGGAAGACAGGAGGGCCTGGCATGCTCTGGTCCATGGAGTCACAAAGAGTTGGACGCGACTTAATGACTAAACAACAACTTATCCAAAATGTAATCTCTCTGACACAATGGTCTGGCCAGACACTTTATAATTCAAGTGGAGAGTCACTAGGAAGGTCGGTCCAGGCACTATGCAATTTCCTGATTTATTGCTAGCTAGGGCAATATAATCACCAATTGACAATGCTGCATTTACTAGATTAAAAAAATTAGTCTTAATGTAGATATGACTTTTCCTGAACTCTGATTCCCATAAAAGTTACAGGTTTACTTGTTTCTTATTGGTTTTCCTATCTATATCTATTAAAAAGAAAAGTGTGCTGCTTATATAATGCCTCATAATGCTTAAAGAACTCTCTGGGTGATTTAGAATTTTTATATCTATTAAAAAGAAAAGTGTGCTGCTTCTATAATGCCCCATAATGCTCTGGGTGGTTTAGAATTTTTATATAAAAGAGAGCCAGGCCAGCTGTCAGCTCCTTTGGTATCAAAACATTGACCATGAGCAGAGATCTGACCGGAGTACTACAGCTTAACCACTGTGCCAAGAGGCTCTATAACAATGCCCTCCCTCAAATCAATCTTGAACTCTACATATGATGTGCAATGAAAAACTTTACACAAGCCGGTAAACATGAAACTAGCCAAGGGAAACAGACTTAATTTCAGCTGTCAGCTCCTTTGGTATCAAAACATTGACCATGAGCAGAGATCTGACCGGAGTACTACAGCTTAACCACTGTGCCAAGAGGCTCTATAACAATGCCCTCCCTCAAATCAATCTTGAACTCTACATATGATGTGCAATGAAAAACTTTACACAAGCCGGTAAACATGAAACTAGCCAAGGGAAACAGACTTAATTTGGAATTCCATGTGTGTGCAAATATAAGCATTCCCATCTTCTTCCTTACAATCTCCATAACATTTTATCATTTCTTCTTCAATTTGCAATTAAAATTGCATATGCACTGCCATATGCAATGGCCCCTAAAATATGCATTTCTCAGTTGACGACTGTACTGCAAATTTTAAAGATGGGCACAATAAGTAGATAACTGTATTCTAATCTGCACATCTGCCTGAAAAACCTGAATTACATAGGTCTGCATACTTCAGGTAGGCTCTGTTTTGGGAGCACATTTTCTCTGGGAGAGGTATATTTTACTTCCTTCTCTTTGTCTCCGGGTAGGTGGGGCTCGTCAGCCATGGAAGGCAGCCCATCTAGGAGAAGGAAAACTCCGATTTCAAACCTCCACTGCCTTGTGGCTATATCCGCTCATGGAAAAGGCTTCAGGAATTAACCTCGAGGCAAAATCCGGAGCTGGAGTCCCGAAGGCAGCATGTGTCGTTCTGCCAACTCCTGCGACATTGCTGGAACCAGTTGTATTGGCTCTTGCCTTTCCATTGGACCATTTCAGCAATGTGGAGAGGGGGGATCTGCTGCTTGGGTAACAGCCTATCCTCCATATTACCTTACCCGGGCTTCATGCTCTGGAGAGGACACTCCTCGATTCAGAGCATGTTACCATAGTCTTTCGAGACTGAAGGATGCCTATTTATTTTATTTTATGAAAAACAGTTCTCTATACTTCTCTACCTCTCATTTTGTGGAGAAATTGCTGCCTTCCCAATGTTTTGGGTGGCAGCTTCCACAAGTCCTGTACAGAATGGCTAAGGATCAGAGGTTACAGCAGCTGCAGTCCAACAACATTTGGAAGGCATCAAGTTGCCATTTCCTGCTGTAGAACAAGATAACCAAATCCCATCCATCTGGACACTACAGCTTCCTAGATTTTCCCCGGCAGATGCAGCCATTCCAGGCCAAGCACACAGTCAAAGCCAAACAGAGAATGGACACAGTTATTCTCCAACAGCCCACAAAGAGAATAAACAAGCATACCACTCTCTACAAATCCCCCAAAGCTTCAGCCAGTGGGCAGGTGCACATGCAAAACAAAGAGAATTTCTTCACCTAACGTGGTCTTGTCTCAAAGTCACTGTAGGTATGTAGCTGCATGATTAACTAGAGATAGGCATTGAGTCTCCCACCTCATCCCACTGCACTCCACCCCACCCACACTGAAGATTAATTCCCAAAATGGGATCATTTGATCTGCTGGCACTGTCGTAGAGGAAGACAAAACTGGCACACTGACTTCTGCTTTGTATTTCTCCTTGATTGCTGTCCACACAGAATCCTGGAAACCGCTCACATCCACCTGCAAGGAATTGCCCAGCAAGGTCTGAAAGAATAAGAGACATTTTAGAAATGTCACACTCATATTTTACAGTGCTTAATTGCAGTTCAAATTAAGTACTGTACAGTGGTGCCTCGCAAGACAAAAGTAATTCGTTCTGCGAGTAGCACCGTCTTGCAAAATTTTCGTCTTGCGAAAAGCTGTTTCCCATAGGAATGCATTGCAATGCATTCCCATGGGAAACCTCACAATACAAATGAATTATTTTCGTCTTGCGAGGCATCGGTCTTGCGAAAAAAATTGTCTTGCGAAGCACGGCCATAGAAGAAGTTGTCTTGCAAGGCACCAACACGATCGCAAAATGCTTTCGTCTTGTGGGTTTTTCATCCAGTGAGGCGTTCATCTTGCGAGGCACCAATATTAGAATTCCCCTTCTCACACTGTGGGTGGGTTTTGGAAAGACAAAAGGGTAGCATTCATTTCAAACAAACCACTCTGTAAAATGCCACTGGCAGTAAGGAACCCAAGAAGAACCCTGCTGGCTGAGACCAGGCTCTTTCTCATCCAGCCCTGTCATTCTACCAGCCATCAGTAAGAGGCTACCAGGAGGCCGCAAGGCAAGATGCAATCCAACAGAGGCTGCTATCTCTGCATATGATCAAAACAGTGAACTAAGCCATATCATGCAGGCAGTACATGAGGGTTCAGAATTCAGTTTATTCTGCTCTATCATTAGACATTTGCCAAAAAGCAGAGGCAGCAAAATTTAACAAAGAATGACTCCTTGTCAAGTGGGGAGGGAACTGAGACACGTAGCCCATCATGAACAGTATTTTTATTGGTCCTCAGAGGAAAGGTTACACAGGCAGTGACTACGCTGGCTGGGGAGATTTGAGGAAATGTTCTCCAGAAAAGTAATTTTGCTATGCTCTGCTAACCCCTTAGCAATTTCTAAAAGATTTTCATTGATAAAGAAGATGAAAATGTATTACACTTGGGTAAAACATTTAATTACCCTTCATCCGCAGGACACTTGGCCAGCACTGAGGCCAGTCAAGACCAAAGTTGATGCTTGGTTCACTAAGCCACTGGTTCTTAACCCTGAGTTACTCAGGAGTTTTGGACTGCAACTCCCAGAAGCCTTCACCACCAACTGTGCTGGCTGGGGTTTCTGGGAGTTGCAGTTCAAAAACATCCGAGTAACAAAGATTAAGAACCACTGCACTAAGCCAAGGTCAGATGTTTATTTAATGATACTGGTAGCTAATACAGAACAAAGCAGAAAGTTTAATACACATATACAGTGGTTCCCAAGCTTGGGTTCCCAGATGTTCTTGGACAAAATCTCTCAGAAGCCTTCGCCACTAGCTGTGTTAGCCAGGATTTCTGAGAGTAGTTCCAGAAATCCTGGCCAGAACAAAGTGATGACGTTTTAGTCCAAGAACATTTGGGGACCCAAGGCTGGGAACCACTTGACACCTACATATGCTTTTGGAAGAGTATTCCAATAAATCAGAGGTGAGCACACTTCAAAGGCAAGCTTTAGTTTCACCTGTAGCTTGGGAGCCATTTCCCAAATAAGTTTTTTTTAAAAAGTCAATAGTGTGGCTTCCCAGCTTTGTGACTGTTATTTCACATTTATTTAAATTTACAGGATGAAGCCATCAGAGTAGCTATTAGGGATTTTCAGAATTCGTGGTCTACAGCTACATTTGAAAGTTAAACTTGAAATTGTGCTCCAAATGACTGATTTAAGCATAGAGACTGTTTGAGACTAATCGAAATTGCAACAGGGCTAGATGGGACAACCACTAAACTCTATTTCTGTAAATCAGAAAATCTACATACACATTAGATTTCCCGCTCAGCTGTGACTTGATGCCACCACAGAAGAGAGACAAAGACGAGAGGAAAGGCAGTGGGACTGATCCCTAGTGAAGGCTCCATCATCCAATGAGAGGCTGCTCATTGGCGACGGTACTCCTTTCATGTCTGATTTACTGATCAGCACTGATCATTTCAAAAGACTGTAACGGCCCTCTAGTAGACCATGATTTGGGGAGATCAAAACTAGGGTTTTTTACATTGCAATTCCTTCACAAGGCTTACAGAAAAGCATCAGCTTGGTCAGCAAGACCAGTACCCATTTAACCCAGTTTTCAACATTCCACAGCCAGAAGCGCTGACAATAAATATCTCTAGATCAGTAGTTCTAAACTCTGGGCCAGGACTCATCCAAGTAAACTTTATCCTTTTAGTCAGACAGATGGCAGCAGAAGCCCACTAGACATGAAATACATAGGCAAATATCTGTTGACAGATTGTGCTGGTCAGAAAGCAAGGCTGTAATGTAGGAAATGGAACGAAGGAAGTGTGGAAATGCATAACAGATGGGCCAACTGAAGGAAAAGGGAGAAGGAGAAGAAGAAAAAAAGAAAGATGGAAAATTAATATTTGATGTATTTCACGTTTTATTCTTTAAGGTGTTATCTTCATTTAAAAAAAACACTGAGACCACTTAATCTCAAAAGCCAGTATAAAGGTATTTTAAATGAAATAAAAAGGACGGATCATTGGATAAGACCTGTCAGAGGCTGCTGCACAGTTTTCTGGTCAGTGATTCCCATTCTTGGGTAACCCTTGGACCGCAATTCCCAGAAGCCTTCGTCACCTGCTGGCTAGGGTTTCTGGGAGTTGCAGTCCAAGAACACCTGAGTTACTCAAGGTTGGGAACCACTGTTCTACGTGCCACTAGAGCCAACCCTTCTGTCTTAGAAGAATCTGACCATGAGATAATGGCCACAGCCACTGGAGACTCTTGTAGGTATGAATATGTGAACACATACAGCAAGGAAAAATTGAAATGCATTAGCAGACCATATGCTAGTCCTCAGTACACTATCTCTGACCAGTCACATTTTTCTGCAGCAATAACAACCAACAGCAGTAACAACTAAGCAGTGTCAAAGCGCTTTGATTTTATCCACAACTTTGTCACCTGCCAGATTCCAGCTCCCCATTAAGTATCAAGGAAGGAAAGAGAAGAGGGAGAGCTACCAAGTACGAGAAATCCTTGAAAGCAGAAGGTGACCTAATAGGAGCCAAGGATATCTATAAACAACCACTACTGCTTGAATTAGAATACCCCATTCTCCCATTTCCCATCATACCTGGGCTTCTGTTTCTGACAGTACTCCATCGCCATCCACATCTAGCTCAGGATGCGCCTGGAGCTCAACGACAGATACCCTGAGGACACAGGAGGGGAAACAAGTTAGCCCACTAGCTGAGCCTTTTGCAACCTTCTGCATGCAGAAGGTGGCACAGATGATCTTATGGCAAGTGCATTGGGTGTGGGTGTGTGTGGATTTCTAAGCCTTCCAATTTTGATTTTAAGAAGAGCATGATTTCAGGGCCAGGTGTGCTCCAAGTGGTCTGGATGACAGACCCTGTTGGAGGTGAGTGAAACAGAGCTGTGTATAGGCATGTGTTTGTGTGCTGGAACTTCAAGAATTCTGCCCGAGGGAATCCTGGGAGAATTCTAGGAGGTGGAACCAAAAAAACAAAACAAAACAAAGAACACCAAATAGCACATTCCTCTTAAAAGCCATCTCTTGGGGATATTTGATGTCTTGTTTCAAAGACAACAGGTTAAATTTCATGATATATATGCACCCACCCACCTTCAAGACCTGGATGCTGCCTGGCACCTCCTCTAGCTGCCACTGCACACAGAAGCCATTCTGGATTACTTTCTCATGAGACAACACAGCCCTTGAAATGGAAGCAGCAAATGCTCTTTCTCCTCCTCAAATATACAGTGGAAAAACTAAGCTGCAGAATTTGATGCTAGGATTTTTTTTTAAAAAAAGGATCAGCATTTAAATCAATATCCATTCTTTCATGCACCTTGACTGCAGAGACTGAAACAATGAGTGATCCAGCACTGAAAGGGAAATCAAGTTGGACTCACATTCCATCAGCATCAGCATCCAGTTCTTGAAAGGCCTCTTCTGCTTTGGCTAGATCCTTTGCTGCTCTTTCAGCTGCTTTCTGTTCTGTTGCAAAACAAAGGCATAACATTTTCCCCCTTAATTTAAAAAAGCTTGAACACCTTTTTCACTTTGGCTTTGGAAGGGCTTGATGGTTGTCCAAAAACTGTCCCACTGCTTATCCTAAAGCCCTGCTGAACCAAAAGTATCATGCACACTCATGTCTGCTTTCTAAAGGAGGTGGGGCCAGAAACATCTAATGTGCATTTTGTAAAAATTAATTGACTTGTTAACTTTAAAATTGGCGTTAATTTCAAAAACAGCTTTTTAATTGGGAAAAAAACCCTATACCTTTCAGTAGCCAAATATACATACTTCAAGCAGTGAAGACCATAAGCGATATGATTCAACACACACAGAGACTTCTATGACCCACACAAAGCAGCAGAGACAGGAAGTAACCTCCTCTACTGTGACCCCAGCATGGAGGACTGGAGATGATCAGGGAACTGCACCCTGCAATAAGTGGTCAGGATCAGCCTGACATCTGACAAAGGCTTGTCTCCAAACCAGCCACAGTTCAGGGCACCATTCCGGCTGCCATGAAACCATTTTTAATCAGCTGTGAAAATGTTCAAGGGCAAGGAGAGGTGACTGCATTTCAGATCATTCTACTGAACATCATCCTTACTTAAAGATCTCAGCATCTGGACCTCCTAATTTTGTTAACCAGCTTCTGTCAGAGCTGTATCATTTCAGAATTTGGAAGTCTCTCCTAAAGTGTGTCCAGTGCGTCTCTAGCACAGAACAACCTGCGGTTTTCTCTCATATGTACAAAGAAAGACCCTTATCTTTGATCCTATTTAAAAAGGCAACTAGCTACTAAGTAAACAAGAGCCATTCAATGACTCAATATGACAAATGCACTCACCCTCCCAGACTTTCAGGTGCATATCTTTGGCTTCTTTTTCGGGTTTCTCAGCAGCTTCCTTTATTGATCGCAACGTCTCCACTTGCTCCTCTGTAGACTTTTTGCCCTCCTGTAGCTCAGCTAACTTATTCTAAAAAGGGAGAAGGAATCAAGAGGATCTCTGAATACAGACAAATCCCAGCCCTTCTGAGCAGCGGCACAAATCTACTTTCGGCTGGAAAGTGACTCAAAAAAAGAGGGTGCGGGGGAAGGCGGAGAGGAAGGTAGGTCACAGAGTTGTTTTATATCGCTACATTTTTAAAAAAGGTACAGTAAGATTAAATTAGCACATATGAACAGACAAGTCCCTTGGACAAGATAAGGGAACACGGAGAACGTACGTGAGAAACCTCTGACCAAATCCAGCTGCCAGTAGTCAGGGAGTGCAGAGCACCCCCAAAGATGGTCTCTGTGCCTCTTAGGCCCAACCTTGCTTGTAGGGCTCTCAGTTCCCAACATACAACCTGCCTGAGAACAGCCAGACCCAGACACCCCAAAAGTACACTTCCGAGATGAAGAAAAAACCCAGCCACCTAGCCTGTTCACACTAGGCCCTGCTTCTCCATCAACAAGTGGTGCCGGCTTCCTGCAGCAGCCCACTCACCTGCTTGTCTTCCTTTCTCTTCCTTGCTTCTTCAATCAGGGCCTTCTTGATTTCAAAGCCTTCTCTAGCCACCTCAGCCTTCTGCCTTTGTGCCTCACGCTCCTTTCGGCCCATCTCTCTGCGAAAGAGGAAGGAAAGCAACGGTCAGATGTGGGCTGCAACGTGCCTGCCAGTTGCAGCATCTACTAGTGGCCTCACATTAGGCCACGGAAATGAAAAATGCTTAAGAAGAAGCCAGGAGCTGGTTTGCAGGTAAAGGTGAAATACATGCCTGAAGTAATGCGCTAAGAATTATTCTCTTCCATATTTCTAAAATCATGTCTGGCCTTTAAAGAACTATTACTGTGTTCCAGTTAGTATATTATCATTGACTACACTGATACATGGGGATCATGCCCGGGGGGGGGGGGCTTGCGGGGTTTCATGTTTTATTCTGTAAACTGTCCAGAGTAATGTATTCACTAATATCTTACAATATGAGATAGATAGATTAGATAGATTAGATAGATAGATTAATATAGATTGATAGATAGATAGACAGACAGACAGACAGATCAGAAAGCAATTCTTTTAGAGGCCACACAACTCTTCAGAGATGTGTTTTTTTTGTTTATCTTTCAAAATTCCAGCCTTAGTATCCGAAATGAATCAGCAGTTTCCCAAAAGGTATTCAAGAGTGGGTCTTACTTGCAGGTGTTTTCACACATAGTGCCGCTGTTGTATTCATCTGTTGCATCGCAGCAGTCTGAAAGTGAGAGGAGAAGGAGAGCCTTTAACAGCTAGTCACTGGGTTTGGCTGCCTGCAGCCAGAGACCTCCACTGATGTTTGCCAGAAAAGCTTACCACAAATCCCATCATTGACATGGGAGGAAGGGATGTATTGAGGACGGTAGCCAGCATTGGAGCAATGGAAACGGCCATTTGGGCAGGCAGAGGTCCCTGGGCAGAGAGACAAGACAGTTGTGGGTATACTGTACTTAATTTAAAGAACTGAGGAGCTCCACCTTAAGACCTGGATATAGGATAGGTTCTAGATCAGAGATGAGAAATTTGGGGGGAGAAGGGAAGGAGAACTGTGGGGAAGCGAGGCAACTTCCAGAATGCTTCAGCCCACATGCCCATCAGCTATGCTGTTGTAATATTCTGATAAATATATTGTAGCACATTTCTCATCTCTGTTTCCTACCATCCTGACATAATAACCATCCACATCTTTCTGCAAAGTCACTATAGTCTATTATATCTGGATGGTAGGTCATTCTGTACCACAAAAAATTGATTATAGGCTACTGCAACAGCAGGAAAAGTCACCCAAAGGCCAACACAAATATATGACAAACACTCTCAATTCTACCCGCCCAGCCTCATACATTCTGCAAATGTAAATGTTGAGAATATACAGGCATGTTGCCAGCTTCTACCTTACTGAAAAGAAGCATTTTCAATGTGCCTCTGGGGGGAAAAAAACCCCAACCATTCCCGTCAATCCTTCAACATACAAATTCTCCATTCTATTTTCTGTCAATTTCAAAACACAAATCCTGGTATGTTTCACTTACTGTTATATCTAGGCTCTGAGAAGATGACAGCTAGTTACTTAGAAGTCCCACCAAGAGGGCAGGCCTGCGCCTTTGCTAAAAATGTCTCCTCTACTTTGTGGCATTACCTGCTCTACATTGCCGCTGCTGAGATGCTAATGCTGCAAGTAAACCCTCTCACCAGATTAACAGGATTAATAGGAATGGATGCAGTGTTCCCTGATGAACACAAGGGGCATCAGCTTGAATGTTTAGGTTAATCTGTCAAGCAAAAACATAGGCAAACATCTAATTACAGCAAGAAGCCTAAGAGTGGGGCATCTCTGAGCTGCACGGCTCTTACCTGGCTCATCTGATCCATCTTTGCAATCACAGTAATCATCATTGACTCTGTCAAAGGCTATTGATGCAGAGCCATCCAAGCAAGTGAACTGCTTTGATTCATCATAGAAGTGATGATCTGAAAGTGACAGAAGGAAATGCTTTGGTTTAAGCAAGAGATGCATAGAAATGAAAACTGAACTCCAATCCAAAAAAGTATATAGGACAGGCTAACCAGCCCAGCAGCCAACACACCATACTAGTTAAACCACAATTATTGTTTCCTCTCACAACTATACTCTTTACTATTTAGGCTTTAATGCCACATAGCTTGAATTCATACCATCCTAGGAGATAAATTAGATCTTTATCATTGTTCTTTAACCACTTAAAAAGCATTTAAAAATACTTAACCACGTGAGAACTGAATGGAAGGCTGAGGATAGGATGAATGGAATGAGTGGCAGGATGCACTAAAAAAGAAAATATGGAGACAAGACCATATCTTCTCTGTTAGAACTGAAGAGAGCAGTGGAAGGTGACCCCAGTGCTGGAAAGAGATCTGCCAGGGACAACAGATCAAACAAAGCAAAAAGGAGGCAGGCCTCGGCATCCCAGTCAAATACATAATAAAACATTATCACAGAACACTTGCTCTGTAATAAAATTCCTGCTGCTTTTATTTTCACAAGCTAGATTGTTATGTTCAAATGAGATTTTAGCCAAATATTCTGTTCTTTACCATAGTAAATTGCACTAGAGTAAGCCCACTGAATCAATGGGGATTTGATGAATCAGCTCCTCCATAACTTATACTGATTCAAATTTTCAAAGGGGCCTACCCTAACTGAGACTTATTTGAGCATTATAAGGTTCTGTTAGAGTAAGTCCGTTTGAATCAGAGGACTCGACGCACCCTATTTCCTGTGCTTCAATCCACGCTGATACCCAAATGTGATTTACTACGCTAAGCAACAGTGTTTTTTTTTTGGTGAATGCAATTTTAATTTGGTTAGTTTCTAAACAAGCCATATTCAAAGCCTTGCTTATTTAACTACTTGGAGAGCATTTTAAATCACAGTCTCTATTGCAACAAGGCACCAACTTTTGTGAAAAGCAGAACTAAACTGGACAACAATTTTTCTGGCCTTGTGGAGGAAGAGGAGGACAAGAGCCTGCCACTTTTTTCAGACGCCTTCTACCTCATGCATGCAACATTACATGTTGGCTTGACATTATGTGGTATCTAGGCCACTGACACTGAGAAAATTGAGACTGCTTGGAGAACAAGGAAAAATAAGACATGCTTCAAATTCTTCATAGTTCTACAGTTTTTTGCTAGAAAACCGAAAGAGTACCACTGGAACACACCCTTCATCCCTAGGAAACAAAGGTGTCATAGCAGATGTATGTATAGACAGAACCAATAGGACTGTGATGCTTATTTTTCAAACAATGCATTTGCACAATGCAAGAGGCTATGGTAGCCCAAATGTTTGGAGCGATGTGCTTCTGTCATGCCTACATTCCTTAGCCAGTAAAACAAACAACAATTACATCAAAGAATTCTGGGATTTTGCTAATAAATCAAAGATGCAAAGATATAAACCCACAGGTCTATAATTCAGGCAGAAACACATTTTGTTTCTGGTCTCCACACCAACAGGAACGGAGTTATCTCCTGAGAGAACAATGTGTTACAGAAGGATTTCCAAGCTGCCACATAGCTTAGTATTCTCTTCTAGGAACTCACTTGTTAGAGAAACACCTCGTGGGCGCCTCACTTCCACGGAGGCAGCCAGGCCAGAAAGCAAAAGCAGCACTAGAGACAGAACAAGCATGGTCCACACGCAAAAGCAACAGCAGTTCCTGGGGGAAAGGGAAAATAGAGAACATAAGAAGCGGCCTGCGGGATCAGACCACACGAATTTTCAGGACAGCATGCTGTTCACACAGAGGCCAACCAGATGTCCATGGGACAGCCATCAACAGAGAACGGATGCAATACAACTGTCATGTTTGTGTTCATCACAAGCTGGTATTCAAAGACTCACTGCCTCTGAAGACCTTTCTACTAAAAGCAAAATTTCCTATGTATCTGGCGGACTGGTGGAGCCAGACTTTAGGAGTTAAGTTCTCCACTGTGCCTCCCTGACAGGGGGTGGACTCAATGTCCATAGTGTCCCTTTCAACTATAAAATTCTAAGATTTGTGAGTTTAATTTGAATTCTGGCATTTTACTTGATTGATTTTGAATTCACATCTCCAACTTACCCTAGTTTCATAAAGTACTCGCGTACAATGTATGCTTATCAGAGGTGGTCAATCCTACATTTGATATCCTGTATGGCCAGATAGGAGTTCCCAGTGTGGTATAGTGAAGTGGTTCTTAACCTTGGGTTACTCGGGTGTTTTTGAACTGCAACTCCCAGAAACCTCAGCTAGCACAGCTGGTGGTGAAGGCTTCTGGGAGTTGCAGTCCAAAAACACCTGAGTAACAAAGGTTAAGACCCACTGGTAGAGTGGATAGTGACAGACTAGGACTCTGGCGAACAGGGTTCAAAGTCCAAGGTTAAGAACCACTGGTATAGTGGATAGTGACAGACTAGGACGCTGGTGAACAGGGTTCAAAGCTCCACTTAGCCGTGGAAATTCACTGTGGGAGTGGAATTGGTAAAACCACACCTTAAATTTCTCACATACTTTGAAAACCATATTAGGGTTGCTATGAGTTGGTTCTGACTTGATGGCACAGACCACACATGTGACTAGAAAAGTCATGTTAAAGTTTGGATCTTTTTAATTAGTCTTTTACAAGAGTGGTGTACAAATACGTTGCATTTCTAAGAAAGAATTAGAAATGGCTCTCAATCCTGGAAGGAAGGGACCTGGTTGACTGTCTTCATAACTAAAAAGATCTCACAGTATCCCAAGATAGAGATTTTCTTTTGTCAGAGATTGTTAGAGATTATCAGAACTGGACACTTGATTATGCTGGAAACGGACGTGTATTACTGATCATTACCTCTCCACAAAAGTCACAGTGTTTGCTATAGAAAAATGATATCAAAAGCTCTGCTTTTAAACAAGATTCCTGTTTTTGGCTGCAAGGTAAGGAGCTTTTTTATCATCTCATTGCATGGCAACCTTTGATAAGAGTATGAACATTCATAAGAGAATGGCAAAGATCCATACAGTATTATCTACATTTTACTATATTGTATTGTGATACTGTATATTGTATTATATATTTCTCTGCTAGAAGAGGGACAACTCTCTGGAGGGCTACCCCCCCAAGGGCCAGGCTTTGCTGAAAACCTGTGTCTGATCAACCAATGTATCTAGGATTAGGAAAGCTTGCCCCCAAACCAAAGCGGCCAATGACTGGGAAAATCTTAACCCCTACTTCTTGCATTTGACTTTCTCAAGTCATTTGCAGCAATCAAAAACAGTGTGCCACCTCTTGCTGCAATGTAAGTACAGTATGAGTTATTTAGAAATAAATGTACCAAATCAGGTGTGGAAGATCTTTCCAATAACCATAACCTTCTGCATTATTTAATCCCTTTCACCTTGAAATTCAAAATACATGAATGAAACCTTGTGAATTTTCTTGTACCACTATAACAATACACAGCAGATTCCTACCCAATTTACTGCATGTGGTATGGAGATCACACAAGCCAATGATTTTTATCCATTTTCTAGGATGTCTATTGCATGTCAATCACACATTGTCCCAAGCTACAGCTGCAGGATAAGATACTGTTGATCAAAATACTGTACAAGAATGTCAAGGATATAATATGACCTTCACAATTAGCACCATCTGAAGACTCTTTGCACATTTAAACATTGGCCAGAATCCTGGTGAACAGCTATATCTATGGAAGACAAACAGCTTAATTCCAAGTGGCTTCTTGGTGGCAATCAACAAATTCTCACTTGGATTTTCAGACATTTGTTGAAAAGAACAAATAAAGATTCATAAAATTCTTCATAATTTAATAGAAGGAATTAGAGAATGAAATAATATAACTGTGGAAGTAAAAAATATATAAAAATCTGTCTATCCCAACTACGTTATTTGGAAGATATCATAAAACACCACACCCATCTTGTACTGTTTTTTGAAAGTATTTTAAAGAGACGCAGCCTGGAGAAGTTATTCTGTCCAAAGTTTTCACGTGTTGGGACTTCAGGTTAAATTCTAATCATTCACTTGCACTAATTTCTCTCCAACTTCAAGCCACTGGTTCCTCCTTCTACAGTAAACACTGTATTTCCCACTCACACTGACAATGTTTTTTTAAAATGTCAGAAAATGAGATGATAGGACTAAATATTAACGATGGGGTACCCTTTTGTGCTAGTGGCGGTTAAGTCCTGACTTGTGGTTTGCTTATTTGTTTAAAAGTAACAGGAAACACCCAATAGCAGAAAGAAAGGAGATGCTTATGACGCTTTTAACCTGCTTAGCCCTGACCATCGTTCCCTCAGTCCTCCACACATTCCAAAGCACTCCAGGAGCACCGCTTGTTTTCTGCAGCCGAAGAGGGTAGGACCAGAAACAATGCATCCAACCAAGGAGAGTTCAGCTAAATATTAGGAGGAACTTTCTTAACCGTGAGAGCCATGATTGAACCATGCAATCAACCTCTTGGGGAAGGTGTGGACTCTCCTCCCCCCGGGGAGATTTTAAGCAGAGGTTGGATGCCCGCCCCCCCCCCGACAGGGACGCTTTAGGCGAGGCTTTCCTGAATTAGCAGAGAGCTGGGCTCGATGATGCCCGGGAGGGGGTCCCCCCTTCAACTTTTATAACCCCGTGCTTCTAGGAGGGAGCGATCGCAGCCGCGGCAAGTGAGGCTCTCACCGCAGGGAAAACCGGACCTGGCATCTCATGTGGTGCCTCCCTCCCTCCACCCCACCAGCCCAGGGCTCCAGGCCGAGGGACTCCCCAGTGTCGCCAGCGACCACTCGGTCCAGCCGACCGCGGATCAGCTGCAGATATACCCCAACTTCCCACCTCCCAGCCCCCCCTTTTTCTCCTCGCTTCTCCTCTCCCCCCACAATCTCTCACCCGGGAAAGTTTGCTCCAGGACACATCCTTCCCCCCCCCCCCAGCTCATGACTGCTATTAAAATCCAGCCGCCGCTCTTACCAACCACCCGGAGAAAGCCCTCGTGGAAATTGGTCCGAAGTTCCCCGATTAGGAACCGGAAGGAGACGACAGCACATCCGGCTGCTGAAGGCGGAGACTTGGCGCTTCCGCTGCCTGTTCGCCAGCCATTTTGAGGAGGAGGAGGAGGAGGAGGAGGCGTCGGCTGCGCAGCCATACTGAGCGTGGCGGAAGTGCTTGGGCGTCTCCCTTTCGGAAGACTTTCGGAAGCAAATGGGAGACTCGGTTGCTTGTTCCAAGGGAAGCGACCCCTGTCCTCGCCCCCGCCTCAAAAAGTCAGGGACAGACACCTTTCCCCTCCGCCTCTACCTTGTTAAGGGAAGTGCTTGACCTTCTTCCCGTCATCCTTGCGCGGTGGGCCAATGAGCGCTAGGCATCGGCGCTGGTTGCCATGACGACGGATCCAGGCGTCCGGAAGCTGATGCTCGGGCAGGGAGGCTGCCGCCTGGCAAAAGTAGAAGAGAGAGAGGGGCTTGGCGAGGCGTCTGGCGGTGCGCGGCTGAGGAGGAGGGGAAGGGGGCACGGCCGGTCTCAAGCCACCCGAGAGCGGCATCGAGGAGTGACGGCAGCCGCTGCACCCAACTCTGCATGTAAAAGCTGCGGTTTGATCCTCCTCTGCTGCTCCCGAGGGATTGCCAGTGGTCTCAGCCCAGTGGGTACCTCCAGAGCCCTCGGTGTGAATACACTGCTGTACTTTTCCCAAGCCCATTGACTCTCCCTCCGTCGGATCATCATCCCCGCTGCCATGCCCGTGACACAGGTCATGGAAGGAATAAAGCCCCCGATCCATGAGCAGATCTCGGAGCTGCAGAACAAGATCCAACTTCTCGGTAAGGGAAGGCTTACGAAATGGAGGATCAAGGGCTCCAGGGACAGTGGGGGTGGTCGTTTCCCAGTGTGAAGTCTGCAGTCTTGTATATACTTGCTTATTTGAGGTGTGAAATAAATAAACCTCGTTGTGCCCAGTGGGATTTACAATAAATACTCTAGAGAAAACTTCCACATGGATTACATTTGATAAATGAATTGCTCAAGAGTAACGTAGACTTTAATATGGATTAGTTCAGAAATGGTTTGAGATGGACAAAGTTACTTTTTAAGACTGCAATTCCCAGAATATGCCCAGCCAACACGGGTGCTGTAGCTTTTCCCATCTCTGTTTAATTGTTGTTCTTTTACCATTAACAGACATGTATTACTTATGCTAGATGTACAGACTGCTCAACAAAATTTTAGAACCATGTAACAGTATTTTCATATTCCATTCATTCTTTCGTACACTCTCTGTGTTGGATCCATACCACCAGTTTATACAGTGAGAAAGGAAAATATTTTGTCCTAAAACCAGATTGGGGGTGATCAGAACCAAGCACTGTTTGACCTAACCCTAATAGCCAGGCCTCCTTCAAGCTGGTGAGGAAATAGAATGCCACTAATAATCTATGTTGATTGGGTGCATTCCTGCTGGAGAGATGTTGATCCCAAGTGAGTCCTGTTGCCTTCCCGTACGAAAGGCATTGTGGAACCCAATCAGCTTAAAAACAGAAAAAAGATCACAGAAACTATTAGCCTACTCACTAATACTTTATTATCAACCAATATATCTAGTCTTATAGGTATCTGTAATATAAGTGGGTAGGGAGAGAACCCCCAAATATGTGTAAAAATTCCTTGTGGTGCCAGAGACCTTGGGTAGTGTGGGCAGTGTGTAGCCTGCATAATTAACTTGTAAACCGCCCAGAGAGTGCTTGAAGTGCTGTGGGGAGGTATATAAGCAGCACACTTTGCTTTTGCTTGATTAGGAGAAATTCTGACACAGCATAGGTGACCAGGCTAGTAGCTGTTAGCAAATCTGGATCAGGAAACTGCCATGTCTAGAGTGCGACAGGTATGCTGAAAAATCCTGGTTTCATCAATCCAGTTGGCTGAATCCATGCTAGCATTTCCTATGGTACCAAAGGGTTAAATGAACAATCTGTACCTTTAGTTATTTCATTTTACCCTGCCTTTCTATACACAGAAAAAGGCTTCCAATAGTATCTCATTCAAAAGGTTAAAAAGTTCCCTGACCCCTGGGTTAAATGAACAATCCTTACCTTTAGTTATTTCATTTTACCGTGGCTTTCTATACACAGAAAAAGGCTTCCAACAGTATCTCATTTCAGTACATTTTTGTTGGAGAGAATGTAAGGAGAGGATGTGTACACCATAGAAATATGACTGATTTACAGGATCATAGCTTGTTGATAAAAGAATTATTGAAAACGTCATAAGCACCTCTTATTTTGATGTTTGAAATGTCAGAGGAAAAGTATTTGAAATCAATTTTGTACTGATAGAAGAAAAATGAATTACCCGCAAGGAGAAGTCATATGACACGTGATATTGTCCAAAGTTGCATTTTTGTTTCCAAAGAAATAAAAGGTCTGGCCCACCAAACTGAATGTTATAGTGTAGCATTATTTCTTTTACGTTATTCACTGCATTATGTGGTTGATGGAGTCATATCTTTTTAATGATGATGACTTCAAAATGGCCCAACTTGTTAACTTCTTGGAACAATTTGGCTTTGCTTGACTTTCTGGATGAGCAGTAAGTACATGAATAGCAAATTTATTTACTTATTAGATTTATACCCCACCCATCTAGACTAATGGTCTGCTCTGGGCGGCATTATAAAATTTAAAAAGCAATAGAACCAATAAATGTGCAAGAATCCAAGATGTAAAAATGTAAATATTAAAATACAGCAGGAGGGAAAGAAAGCCTGCCTAAATAGCCATGTCTTCAGTTTACTTCTAAAGACAATTTCACGCCTGCTAATTACAGAAGGTGACCGGAAAGCTTTCTATGAGAACTCCCAATGGAACATTAAGAAGAACAAGGAGTCAATTTTGCGGCTGAGACAAGAGAATAAGAAATTGCACCAGAAGTTGGCAGATGTTCTTGCGGTGAGCTTCATAAGCATATTACAGTCTGGACAAACAGATGCAGTTGTTCATGAGTGGAAGCAGGAAGGAGCATTTGTGATATCTCATATTACCTGCCCCAAACTATACCAAATCCCTACACGCTCAGGAAATTGTTCTGACTGTTACAGATAGGTGTGGAGGACATGCAGATACATTAATCTGTTACCATTTGATACGTAAGATGGCAGGGGGTTTTCTCTCTTTTCACTCACTGGAAGAAATAGGCTACTGTCATGAAATCTTATGCCAAATAAAAATTGTGAGTCTTTAAGGTGCCATGAGATTTTTTTTAAATTCAGTATCTCAGGTTAGAGTCCTTGCTCAGATAGTTTTGGATTGTCGTATCTAAAAAAACATTGGACCCAACATCGTGTTTGTGATAGCATAAATGTACTGCAGAAAATGCATATTTCACCAGATTGTACATATAAACAGCAGCAACAGCAGAATGCTAGTGAAATCTGTATGTTGCATTAGTCTTTATACAATTCTCATAAACACATTGGAAGAAAGAACTTTTTATTCAGTTTCAAATGTCTGAGGCTGTAATCCTTCCACTCTTTAAAATCGGTTCACTTCAAAATGCCAATTTTTAAAAAGATTCTGTTCAATACATTTTGTTTATATATTTCAAATGTATTCATGGGAAAAGGGATCACTAAGTCCTAATTACACTGTGAATATTCTATTCATGTGTGTTAGTTACCACTGTTGGCTAACATTGCTAGCTGCTGGGAAGCACCTGGCAACGGTGGTGAAGAAGAGCAGATTTGAATGCTCAGTGCAGCATCTACTCTGGGAGAACTCTTTTCATGCTGCCTATCTTCTGTCATGTTATCTAAGACTCTTCTGTGTCTTTCCCATCAGGGCAAGATGATCCTTTAATTTTACAATGGTCAAGCTGGAGTGGATAGGCCCAAGGTTGGGGACCACGGATCTAACAGACTCTTCTGTGTCTTTCCCATCCTTTAATTTTACAGTGGTCAAGCTGGAGTTTTCTTTTCTGCACCTATATTCTCATGAGATCCTCCCTTTACAAAAAAGAAAAAGTGGAAGGGTTGGCCAGGACAAAGTAGATTTGTGGACTTGTAGACCTGGGACGTGGTGGCGCTGCGGGCTAAACCGCAGAAGCATCTGCTGCAGGGTCAGAAGACCAGCAGTCGTAAGATCGAAACCACGCGACGGAGTGAGCTCCCGTCACTTTGTCCCAGCTCCTTGCCAACCTAGCAGTTCGAAAGCATATACTGTACTATAAATGTGAGTAGATAAATAGGTACCACCTCGGTGGGAAGGTAAAACAGCGTTCCCTAGTCATGCTGGCCACGTGACAACGGAAACTGTCGGCTTGAAAAACGGGATGAGCACGGCTCCCTAGAGTCGGACATGACTGGACTAAAAATGTTAAGGGGAACCTTTACCTTTATCTAGACCTGACACCACTATAGTGGCCCTCTGTGCTGTGCCAAATGTGACGGTATGCTAATCACTGCATGTCTAGGCTTCCTGCAACGTACCTCAGACCCCTAAAGAGTAAGAGTGGGATGGTCAGAAGCCAACAGAGCCGTGTGTGAGTCAACTGTAATCTCTGTTGAAACAGGCTTTTGTCCTAAAGAAAATCTTCCCAGAATTCATCTAGTCATCAGAGATTTACATACAGTACTTTGCCTGGTTCTTGATAAGTTCCCTGAGTTTGAGTCTCTCATGTTTCCTAAGTTTCAGGGGGAAATGTTGAGAACAGCCTCAGCTGTTGCCTCATGTTTGAAGGAGGCCGGACTCTCTTCCCGTAATGACCTGGCTGTGAGGTGCCAGATTACAAAACATGCTCTCCAATGGCAAGGTGGCCAGCACATTTGTGGGCTCTTGTAGTTCCTTTATTTATTAATTCAACTTCTGTACCACCCAATAGTATGATACATACTCTCTAGGCAGTCAACATAAATATTCTAACTCCTGGTTATGTTAAATAGTGGCAAGGTGGCCAGCACATTTGTGGGCTCTTGTATTTCCTTTATTTATTCATTCAACTTCTATACCACCCAATAGCGTGATACACACTCTCTAGGCAGTCAACAAAAATATTGTAACTCCTGGTTATGTTAAATAGAGAAGTCAGGGGCCTGTTCTGAAATTCTTAGACCTCTAAAATGTTCCTGTGTTGAATGGTTTTTTATTTGGCTATTGTCTGAAATGGCAAAAAGAAAAGAGGAAAGAAAAAGAAAGAAAGATTTGTTAACTCTGCAGACCTGCTGATGGTCACAACCCTTTCCATTCTGTCTGAAGGAGTTATTTGTTCACCTGGATATCAAAGTCTTCTTTAACCATCATTGCTTTGATAAGATGTTACTATAAGTGTTGCTTCATTTGTTTTAATTTCTTGTACAGTATTTAAAGCATTCTGCTCATTTCCTCTACGTGCTTAAACAAGCAGGTAGAAAAGATCTTGACACTGGGTTTTTGCATGTGCTCTTCCCTCAAGCCCACCCAAATCTGATCACTCAGAAAAGAGAGCTCCCTGTTCCAGGAACAGTGGTTTGTTTCCAGTAAACTGGATTCAAGTGAAAGAAAATTAATCTGGCTGTTTTGTTTTTGCAGGGAGAGGAGAAAATAATCAAGGCTGCTTTCCAAGAACATCCAGCTGAGCAAGGATCTGTGAAAAATAAAACTGGGGAGGTAGGGAATGACAAGTATTTTCCTTGAGTATCTTTGCACAGATAGAAAATTGTTTTTTTCAGAGTAAAGAATATTGTCAGAAACTTCCAAGTGCAATCCTCTGCAAGTTTATGCATGAATAAATCCCATTGAGTTCAGTGAGATTTAATGCCCAATTGAGTTTGCATAGGATTGCAATTTTAGTTTTTTTTAACAAAAAGTATCAGTTGTCATATGTGATCTCAAGACACATGTATGAATTATGTTTTCAGTTTACATGCCTGGTATAGTGGTGAGACTGTTAGACTAGGACTTAAGAGCAGGGGATTCAAAACCTGCACACAGCTATGAAACTCACTTTCTCAGCCTGATCTGCTCACATATTGTATCCTATCCACTATATATTGGGAATATATACTGGGTAGGAGAGCAGTGTATAGAACCTTGGGTTCACTGGAGGAAAGGAAAGAACAGGGTAAATAACCTTGGGCATTGCGCATCTTAGGCAGTAACTCACAGTAACCCACTGTGGATGTAGTGAAAGATGGCAGATAACATTACAGAAAAAATGAACACAAACAATTTGGCCAGTAAAAGGAATTAAAAAATCAAATTTATTTGCTGAATGGTGTCAATTATTCATAAATTTCATGTGTAGAAAAGATCTCGGTCTCTCGGACTGTTACAAAAAAAATTTGGGGCCCTGAGAACCATGTTGAAATGTCAGTATGCTAAGTGCCTATTCTGAGGTGATTGCTTACCTTAATAGGAAGTAGGGAGGGAATTACTGTAGTAATGATTTATTCTGTATTTGAATTGCATGCATATCTAAAAATAAAGAGAAAAAGGATAACATTGAAAAATTGAATCCTAAGAATTGAAGTGAACCATCATTTTGCCTATAGTTAAAAGAAATGGTCAATTGAGAGGTAAACGATATTTATCTGGCCTAACATGTGCTTCTCCTTATGACATTTGTTAACTTCCAGTGCCCTTTGTTTTATGATCAGTCATTGCAAGGTAAACATGAGCTTACTCTGCAAGTCTGGCATGCATCTTGGAAGAAATGCTATCACTTGAAAAGGCTCATATTCACAAGGGATGTGTGTTTCTTTTAATGTCTGCTCTGTTCCTTAGTGACTTAACTGCCAGTCCAGTTGTTCAGACTCCTCTAAATGTTCTCCTCTGCTCCAAAGGGTGCTATTCAAATGATCAATCACCGGCTATGTGAGAAAATCAATCAGTTAAACAACCTGAAGCACCAAGTGGAGATGAGGAAGCGGCGACTGGAGGAACTGCAGCTTCAGTACAGTACCAAGGCGCAAGAAATCAGTGACATCCAAGCACTAGAAGAACGGAACATAGAAGCAGCCAAGGTGAGAGGCTTGTGAATCCTTTAAAGGGAGGAGGCCAATGGGCTCCTCTGTACTAGAGGTTTCCAGTCTTAGGTAGAAACCCTGGACAGCACAGCTGGTGGTGAAGGCTTCTGGGAATTGCAGTCCAAGAAGACCTCACTTACCCAGGGTTGGGGTCCACTGGTGTAGAGGTTTCTTTTCATTTACCTGGAGCTGACCTAATATCACAGGCAGGGGCCAGTGGAAGTTTTGCTTCTACCAGGGTTGCAGCTAAGCAGATCAGCTGTCACAGAACCTGGGAAGCAAGTCAGGTTTGAGTGTGCCTGAAATAAAGGCTTCCTGAATTTGTCCTCTTAGTGTGAGAGCAAGGTCCAGTGATTATGGTGGCTGCAGTGGGGTGAGTCCTGAGTCTGGGATTCTGCTAGAAAGGAAAACAGAAGGCAAATTATTTCCCTCTCCCTGCTGCCACCTCCATGGTCACAAACTCAGAACTGAATTGCATATATGAGTATAAAAAAATAAAGAGAAAAAAGCACAGAGTGCTGTCCTCTGAAGATGCCGGCCACAGAGACTGGCAAAACGTTAGGAAGAACAAACTTCAGAACACGGCCAAGGAGCCCGAAAAACCCACAACAACCAGAAAAAAAGATAATTCCTCCATGTAACTTAGAGGTCATCTATACTGTGGTACTGTCCTTTATTTTTTTAAATTACTTCTCTCTTTTGTGTTATGGTGCAAAAGGGATCATGTTAAAAAAAGAGAGGGAAGTGTAACCCAGGAACAGCTGATCTCTACCTCTTCCATCCTTCTCTACATTTTGGTCTCAATGGTTTTTTTAATTGGATATACTTTTATTTTATTTGTTTTCATGTTTGTTCACTTTGTTATGAAAGTGATACTATAAAAATATTTAAAAGCAGAATGGAGGAATAGTTGATATCATCTCCACCCTAGTAACTCAAGAAAACTGAACAGGACATCTTTAGTAAGATGTGTGAGTAGGCAAGCGTCATCAAGCAGTACGTACCTGCATGCATCAACATAGCACTAGGGTCCCTGTGAGCAAATTGTGTGCAAGAACAAATAGGAGCAAAGCAGGAAAAAGTACACCTCCACCTGGCAGTGATATAAAAGAATTGGAAGGGTTTTTGTCCCACCGTGGGTCTGTGTTGTGTTGGGTGTCACGGGTTCAAGGAAAGTTGAAGAAATGCTCATTGTGGGCCCCAGTGCTATGCAATTCGGCTCTTATCTGTTGCTGGTTGGTTATGCAGACACACCACGAGAGGGAGACAAAGAACTACTGTGTTACTGTCTCCTGATTCTGGCTTCCTGGCATGTATAATATGATTGTCGACACTTGGAGGGCTGTGAATGCCCTGAGGAACAGAAATGAAGCTGATTTTCAGGGTGAGGAGAAAAGATGTGCTTCCTGGCTCCTAAATATTTCCTGGACTGCCAGGCCTCTTTGCCTTGCCCCTTAATCACTAGAAAGCGGCTTTGCCTCTTTCAGTCCGTTGATACTTAACTGGGAATTGCTTCTAGACTCAAACATAACACAGATGCTACACAGATATTCAGCTTCACAAAGCTGTGAATTGATTGTTCTCCACCTCACAATTGATAGGCTTCAACACATTTTGGCTGTGACTAGTCGGGGTGGTGGTGGTGGCGGCACCAGAGAAGGGACTATGGCACAGTTCCGTCTCCTGCCTCAAACACTTTGTACAGTACATGAAAGCTCTCTGGTACAAGTCCTGCCATCCGTCCCCCATTCAGTAGTTGAAGGTTACAGAACTGAAGAATATCCTTGGCAAGTCAGAACAGGCAGTCCTAAGCTAGAAGGAAAGCCAACTGGACAGTCTGGGATGCAAGTTCCTGTGTCCAGATGAAGGCTCAAGTCAAGAATGAGCAAGACCTGAAACTGTCTAGGTTTGCCTGTATGTGCAAAGAGTTTATATGTATGAAGAAAGTTGTGCAATATTTTTTTAAAATAAATGTTCTTACAATTGTAGACAAAATGTCTCTATTCAATGTTATTAATATGTTAAGAGCTGTTAATCTTGCAGCTTTGTGCAAATGTAATCTGGTTGGTTGGTTAGTTGGTTGGTCGGTTGGTCGGTCTGTCGGTCGATCGATCGATCAATCAATCAATCAATCAATCAATCAATCAATCAATCAATCAATCACTTCAATGTGTATACCACTCCCCGTTAGTGCCGAAGCAGTACTCTGAGTGGTTAACAACAAAACACACAATCAGAATGGAGTAATATAATGAAAACAATATACCATTCAAACCACATAGGCGATGGAACAGAGAGCGCCAGAGCAATGAAGGGACTAAAAAATAAAAATAAGAATAACAAGAATGACTGGACAGAGGTATAAAATCAACTGAAACTCAGCAAGGATAGGGGTAGAAAACCTCCCTGAAGAGCCATGTTTTCAACTGCCTCTTAAATGTCAACTGCAGATTATCAGTTAGACATGTGATTTTGTCAATAGGTACACAGTATAATAGGCCATGCTTTGTTCAGCATTCCTATTTTCCCATTTTTCAAATGCTGGAGTATATCTTCCCAGTCCTGCTTAAATATAAACCATTCTTATGCTCCCTTTCTCATGGATGGTGGTTTCTCTCTGTGATTTGGAGGTGGGTGGGAAGCAAAGTGTGCTGCTTATATACTGGCCTGTAGTGCTTAAAGCACTATCTAGATGGTTTACAATTTAATTAGGTAGGCCAGTGGTCCCCAACCTTTTTGACACCAGGAACTGGTTTAATTGAAAACCATTCTCCTAAGGACCGAGGAGGGACTGGTTTAATTGAAGACCATTCTCCTAAGGACCGAGGTGGGGGGTACTTGTTATGCAGTAGGTTGTCAGAGGATAGCTTTGAATCGAGCAGGAGCAGGAGGTGAGCTCCAATTAAAGGTTTGCCTCCTGTCAGATCAGCAGCAGCATTAAAACCTAAAAGGAGCGCACTGACGGGAGGCAGAGCTTCACTCACCACTCACCTCCTGCTCGCTACTCATCTGTCCTGTTGGCCCGGTCCAAGGCCATGGATCAGGAATGGTCCGTTGCCCGGGGGTTGGGGACCCCTGATGTAGGCAGGAGGTGAGCTCCAATTAAAGGTTTGCCTCCTGTCAGATCAGCAGCAGCATTAAAACCTAAAAGGAGCGCACTGACGGGAGGCAGAGCTTCACTCACCACTCACCTCCTGCTCGCTACTCATCTGTCCTGTTGGCCCGGTCCAAGGCCATGGATCAGGAATGGTCCGTTGCCCGAGGGTTGGGGACCCCTGATGTAGGCTATGTATTGAAAGGCAGCTTTCAATCTCTATTTTGCATATCTCTTGCAACACCTCACTCATTATTGGCATTACAAATACTTAGAAATAAAGATTGTGAGCATCCAGAGCATCAGTCAAAGGTTTCGGACATGCCCACATTACAGTTCTCTGTTTCTTTGCTGCAAAGCAGACGGAAGTGGTAAACACGTCTGAGAAAGAAACAGAGTTCCAGTATGTTCTGATTGCTCAGATAAAGCATGTTTAAGAAACATAATATGGAAGTGGTGGTGCGGGACTAAATCCATGGACCCTCATTCCATAGTTTCTATGTGGAAAGTGCTTAAGAAAACAATACTTGCAAACGAGCAACTTCTCTGTCATTTACTATCTGTGCAGGCAAGTCCCTGCATCAATCACTGGTAGGATGCAAGAGTAATCTAGGTGGACACAATTTCTAAGAATTCCTTCTTTCCATCTCCATGTTTTCTTTCTGTTGTGACGTGCCAGTCCCATCTGCCTTGGATTATTTATATGTGACTTATTAGTAGTAAATCTGGATTTCTCCTAATCCACAATTCTTCCTCCCTCCATCAACTCAACCCTAAACGAGACATACAATAACAGAAATTCTTTAAATATATATAGTTTTCAGGAAATGTGTGCATGTGTTTTTTCCTTTCTGGAATGATAGCATTTGGACTCTAGAGCAACTGGTGAGGTCTAAGATGCTAAAGAATTAAAAGATGGACTAGATACAATCCTATGCTTCTGGTCCTGCAAGAGTTATATTTGCATTTTGCATTCCCTTCCATCCATTCCATCCTTTCCCAGATGGGAGTCAAATGTTTTCTGCTGCTAGAAAATTATTTGCAACTGAGACTTCCTATCAGTTGTAGAGAACTTTTTCTGGGTGCTAATCCATAATGTGAATGAGTCGGAGAAGGAAATCTCTGACTCTGGAATCTGGAGACCATCTAGATCACCTGAGTTGCTTACCACCCCTACACCTTGGGGCAGGGGAATTCTTAAATGGGACAGGTGGGAGGCAGGATCTCTGTTTTCTTGGTTTCTAGCTCAAATCATTTACACTTCCCATCCAGACCTTGCGTACGCTGGAGAACCGCCTGGAAAAGGCCCATTTCAAGACTGAAGAGGCTGAGCGCATCACTGGCATGTACCAGAAGCTGAAAGCACACATGCAGGTGAGATGTACAGTCCCTAAGAAGTAATTGTTGAGAGGAAGTACCCAGTTCTATCCTATCTCTCACCACCTTGGACAAAGGGAAATGTGTTTCAGTTTCTCTTACTATATTGCCACTTGATTTGCAATAATCAAAAGGTAGAAATGATTTTTTAATTTTGTCCTGTTTAGAAGCTAATCCTAAAAGCCTGCTGCACTGAAGTCAGTGTGACACACACCACCCCCTGAGAACTACATGGAGTTTTTGTTGTGCCCACTAACATAACTGAGCATGGCCTGTGTTGGAGATGGTGGGACATCAACACTGGTAGTTCTACGATTCACACTGGTATCTTTCATCCCCTTCCTAGGAGGAGAGCCTACATTATCAGAACAGACTGGATGCCCTGGAAGCTGAAATCTTACGCCTGCGCCATGAACTTAAGGATCTGGAAAGTGTGAACGCTGAGGCACTGCATGCTCGTGATGCAGCAAAGGTAAAGGGTTAACACAGTGTGCAATATAGGAAGAAGAAAGGGTAGGGGATATTCTATCCAGCAACACAGGAATAATCTACAGAAATTAGATGGATCCAGAATGACTCCGAGCAGCTGCAACGGTCTCTTGGAAGGAAGGGCCGAACAGGCAGGCAACAGATATTCAATATGAAAAGTTATGCTGGGTGCATTTGGGGGATGAGAGATCTCTTGGTGCTATGAGAGG